CACCCTGGGGGTGCTGGGCTCCATACAAGCTGCAGGCAGCAGAGCTGAGCCCCGGCCCCGGTGGTGAGTGGGACCTGGTGCTGCAGCTCGTGCCTTACAGTGCTGCTGGTACCACATGCTCTTGGGGATGGAGGTGGGTGGACAGAGAGATTGAAATGTGGAGCAGACTTCTTGATAAACAGCCGGGGCCAAATTCAGCCCAGCAGCTAGTCCAATGCAATCAATGGAGCTAGAACAGGAAGGAACTAGACTACATCCATCTGTTTATCATTAAGGAAAGCATTGAATAGTTAAGTAATTAAAGACTGGAAAATGTGACTTTAACCCTTCCAAATACATACTTCAGCTTTTGCGTTTGTGGAAAAAAAAAAAATGCTTCCAGATTTGCCATTTTGGTGTGCTCTTCTGCAGCAAGCTCCTGGTGTGGCTCCTGTGCTGACCTGGGAAACTGCCGAACCGGAGGGTTTGGGGGGTGTTTTCCCTGGAGCCTGAGGAGCACAGCTTCCTGGAGAGGGAAAGGATGGAGCAGGGCTTGTTTCTCTGCTGGTATGACATGAAGTCAAAGGTAAGAGGGTTTTCAGGCTGGAGGCTGAGAGGAATCAAAGTGAGGTGTCTCCCCTGCCCTGGGCATGGGCTGGTGGTCCCTGCTCTACCCAGCAGATGACAGCCACAACCTGCCCCTTCCTTTTGGCCACTGCAGGGCAGTCCCCCCGCCCTTGGCATGTGCTGCTGGGGTTGGATTGATGGGATAGGTGACTGCCATCCCCAGGGTGATGCTGGTGCCCGCCCAGGGTGCAGAGCAGCCCCCACGATCCACCCCAGGGGCTGCAGAAAGGGAGCTCCCATCCTGCACAGCAAGAAGGAGCTACGGCCAAGGCACAGGGAGAAGGGGCGGACAGGGATATGGAGCTAATGAGGTGGAGGGAGAGGGCATGGGAGGGATATGGAGTTAATGAGACAGAGTAGGGGGAGGCAGCCAGGAGGGCAGGAAAGCAGAGTGCCCTGTGGTGGGAGGAGGTGGCCGCTGGCCCCACAGGTGGGCTCCCTGCTGCTGGCTTCTGCAGGGCTCGGGAGCCTGCCTGGGGTGACAGAGCCCATCCTCAGCCCTCGGGCTCACCTCTCGTTGCCCTTGGGCACACAGGCAGGGAGAAGGGACAGGCACGGCAGGAGCCAAGTGAAGGATAAGGCGCTGGTGGCTGCAATGGTGAGCAGGCAGTGTCCCCTCAACGGAGGGAGGGTACAAAACAGAGGTGAAAGCATCCATCCAGGAATACCTCCCTGCCCTGCCCACAGCACACCCCTCACTCACCCCAGTCCAACCTTGCGGTGTGCCCTTCCCCTCCAGGAGACATTGCCCTGTTTCCAATTCCCTGTAGAATGGCACCGGCCGGGTGAGCACGGCAAGCGGGCTGAACACAGCACTGCCCTGCAGCCAGGGTGCCCAGCACACTGCGAGAAGCCTCCAACCCCACAAACACCCTGCCATGCCATGCATTTGAATAAAACCTTTGGGGACAGCAACTCTCTTCTGCCACGTTCATGCAAGGCTGCTGGACCTGGCACCACCACACTGAGAGAGGCACCATCACCTTCCTCTTCAATGGCAGGTGGCTTCGGTTCAGTACCCGAGGTCTCAGCTGGGCTTCCCTTCCTTTTTGGAGCTCTGCCCAACCAGCCCAGCCCAGTTCTGATGCACACTGACCCCACCACAGGCTGTGGGCTGAGCTCTGCAGTTCTTAACAAGGAAGGTTCAACCACCAGAAGTCACCTGCAGCCCTCCACCATGACTCCAAAGACAAACCAACCCCAGCTCCAGGTCCTGGTGCCACTTCATTAATGTGGAAGGCCGCTGAAATTTGCTGCATTGGAAGAAAACCAGGTGCAAAGCACCCAGCCCTGGCAAGCTGTCAGCTGAGCTCCCTTTGGGGAAAAAAAGGGGAGCACCCCATGAGCATGGAACCAGTGCTGCAGAAATCCACGCTGGCCACCCTGCTCCCTCCATCCCCCCGGCAGGCATGATTCACAAATGTTCTGGGAAGGGATGCAGCAGCGCACAAACCCTCTCTGCAACAAACCCAGGAAGATTATCTTTACACTATGCCAAGAGCGCCAAATGCACTGTGGCTGCAAACACTCACAGTCACTGAGCACTGCTCAGCTGCTGGCAGCCTTCACCGGGAGAGAAGCAGCATCTGATGGGTCCTGCTGCCCTGGGGACCAGCGGCTGTGATGCCAGCGAGCGCCCAGAGAGCCCTGCCTCCCCCCTGAGGGGCCAGGGGTGCCGAAGGGGGCCGAGGAAATGCAGGAAGGTGAGGGATGGTGCAATGGAGCCGCGCAGCCACCCTGCATGGGTGGCTGTGGAAAGGGCTGCGGGGGTAACCCTGAACACAGCCACAGCGTGTTCCTCTGAGCATCTCCTGCCTTGTACCCTCCCTGTGCTGCAATCCCCAGCATCGCTGGCTGCTAGCCTTGGCTCTGCTCAGCATCACCCAGCCCCAGCAAGGTTTGGGGGTGGGATGTGCTGTGGGGACGTGGCACAGGTACCAGGCTCCTCTGCAGTCTCATCGGGGCCTCCTTTGGCTGGAGGAGCCTTTCCTGCACCACCGAGCAGGAAAACACACCGCTTGTTCAAAGGAAGCGAAACAAAACCAGGAGACTTACAGAGAGCCCTTGTTCCAGCGAGTCTGTGTTCACGATAATGGGAGCGGGGTTGGCCTGTGAGGAGACAAAAGCGGAATGTCACTGAGCTGAGCGATGAAGACAGCCCTTCGTGGTGCACTGCCTCTCCCCTGGCTGTGCCACCACAGGCGGGACAGAGCAATTCAGGAAGGGGTCTGCCTTTGTCCCTCCTCCAGGTGCCCAACAGCCCTAAGGCAGAAGCAGGGCCACAGCATGGATCTGGGCAGCGGTCCTCTCCTCAGGCCTGGTGGTGCCCCCTGCACCTCATGGCTTCGGCTGCTGGGAAGGAGGCAGGGAAGACTGGAAACTCTCCCAGCCTCAGCCCCACCAGCACCAAAAGTTCCTTGAAATCCACATTACTGAGGGATTAGGAAATAGGACTCAGGAAGGAAGTCTTTCTGAGGGAGGGATATATTTCCAGAAGACCAGCCCTGAGGCCTTCACGCACCTCCAGCAGCTGCTGTCACCCCACCTAAGCCACCATGCCCTGGGAGAGGTGGCAGCACTGGTCCCTCATCCTCGCTACCCCTGGGGTAAACCCTCTGCTTGGCAGACTCAGATCATCCCCACCCCCACCCCATGCATCCCCCCTCTCTTGTGGGGTCTCCCCATAAGCCTCTCCCCGGGTCCCCCTCCTCCCGGGCTGCCCTCTGCCCCTTAGCTCGCTGCACACAGCAGGAGGGACGTTGGGGCAGAGGGCAAACGCTGGCAGGGAGGGAGGGAGGCCCGA